CTGCTGAAGGCAGGGCAGTGCATGAATCCCCCCACCCCAGGGGAGTGCAGTGTGCAGAGAGGCACATGGCCCCTGCAGCTGGCTGCCCTGAGCAGTGTGCAGGGGTGTGGAAGGCAGGGAGCCTGGCTGAGGGTCCTGCTGGGCTGCTGGCCGGGAGCCACCTAGGTACGTGCCTCCTAGCAAGACTCTGCATTTGGCATCCCAGCCCCTTCCTCCCCACAACCTGCTGCCCCCCCTCTTGCACCCTTGCCCCATGTAATCCAAACCCTCTGCACCCCCCACTTCTGACCCCATTCCCCCCCAATCCCCTGCCCCAGGTCACAACGCAATCCCCCCGCATCCGCTCCTGCACCCCTGCCCCAGGTCACAACCCCCTCCCAGATCCTGCAGCTGCCTCTGTACCCCTCCTCCAGGTCAGAATCCTCTCCTGTACCAGTACCCATACCCCCTCCCAGACCCTGCTCCCCCTCCTGCACCCAGTCTCCTACCCTGGGCTCCCTTCTGCACCCAACCTCCATCCCAGACCCCTTGATATCATGGAAGAGTGTGATCCTTGGCCGCTCACCAAATTCTGGGGGTGTCCTCCCCCCAGTGCTTGGTCCTGCCATGAGTGCAGGGGTCTGGACTCTCAGGGTCCCATCCAGTCTATGCCCATTCCAGGGTCGAGCCCAGACTCGGGATGCTGTCTGCAGGCACATGGCACAGCAGGGGATGATCTGTGAGTTATTAGTTTTATGATGTGGCACCTTTCAGACGCGCACACCAAGCCATGGCGAGCTGTGGGACACACGTCCGTCCAGCTGAAAGTCATCTCGTACCGGGGACCCCTTGTCCTCAGGATGCTCGTAGGGTCCCGATGAGTTAGGTCCAGCTCCCACACCACAATCTCACCCCCGGGTGTTGCACCGACTGGCCAGCTCCGCAGGAGGAAATCCGGGAGGCGGGGGAGACTGGAAGGGGCACAGGATGCACGACTCCAAAGGGCAACGGTGACCTCGCAGCCTCTTCCCGTCCCCTCTTGTGTCCACAGGAGCATCAGGTGCCTTCGAAACATCATCCACTGGAACCTGATCACAGCCTTCATCTTGCGCAACGCCACCTGGTTTGTGGTGCAGCTCACCATGAACCCGGCCGTGCATGAGAGCAACGTGGTAAGTGCAGCGCTGGGCGGCAGAAACAGGCAGGGGCGGCGGGGGTGGGTCAGTGGCTCTGTGCTCCGCATGGCCACCGCTCTATCCAGCTAGAGCAAAGGCAGCGCAAGTAACAACAGCGGGAGCCCAGCCTGCAGCCCAAGCTAGTCACAGCGCCCCATGTGGCTGGGGCAGCCGGCGCTGACACCCCCGGTTCTGGCTACCATGTGTAGACATAGTCACTGGATTATAGCTAGCTCTGGTGTGCCAGCCCGGGCTGCGGGCACGCCCCGAGGGGCAAACGTTTCCCGACTGCGCCGGGCACTGCCCCTGGTGCTGAAGCTCACTTGGCGCAGCAAGCACTGCCCAGGGCACCATGTTGCACATCTGGCATGCCAGGCGCTGCCCAGGGCACCATCTTGCACATCTGGCATGCCAAGCACTGCCCAGGGCACCATGTTGCACATCTGGCATGCCAAGCACAGCCCAGGGCACCATGTTGCACATCTGGCGTGCCAAGCACTGCCCAGGGCACCATGTTGCACATCTGGCGTGTCAGGCACAGCCCAGGACACCATGTTGCACATTTGGCGTGCTGGGCACTGCCACAGGTGATGCTGCCCCATCTGGCTAGTGCTGCATGGCCCTGTGAGCAGGGTGCTGCCCAGCCCGGTGGGTGCTGGCGCTGAGCGGGTGCGGCTGTGCTGAGAGCTGCACTAGCCAATGAGAAAGGTGATGCCATGTGGGCCTCTCCCCATGCCCGTGGCCGTGACGGGCGCTGTGGGTGGCTCCCAGCAGGGCAGGCAGCTCAGGCCAGGGCAGGCTGGTTCCCGGTGACGTAGGCGGGGGAAGGGGCACTGAGGCTGTCACCCAGCGCTGCAGGGCCATGCACATGGCACCGACCAGCTGCAATCAGCAGAGGGAAGCCGGCGGCGCCTGCCAAGAGAAGCTGGCCAGGGTGGCCTGTGGCCGGGGGGCAGGGA